GAAGCCGAAATTTTTGTGGCCGAGTTGATTTGTGGCCGAGTTGACTTGTGGCCGAGTTGACTTGTGGCCAAGTTGACTGTGGCCGAGTTGACTTGTGGCCGAGTTGACCTGCACCCGTCTCTCACCCAGTACAAGTTCTTGATGATAGGCTTAATAAAGTTGATTTAATTTCTCTTAAAAATGTACAGTATTTGATCTGATTTGTATCTCCTTTGTTTGCAAGTGCCTTTTTTGTTTTGATTACCTTGATATCTTCTCTTATATATTTCAATTAATGTGAGGCATCCTATACAATACTATATTTTCTCATTCCTTTGAAGGAAAAAATACTTTTACATACTCCAATTCGATAAATTCGTTAAGAGTTTGTTATATAGCAACGCTTTAAGGTTATTCTTTGGTAAGCCCAAGGCAAGCAGTACAAGATTTTTTTGAGGTATTGTGTCAATAAATCATTGTTAACTGGGCGTCCAGTTTTCAGAAGGTGATTTTATTGTTCCGGAATTAAGAATTCGGCCGAAACTCGGAATTGGGAGATCCTGTTTTCAGAATGGATTTTAATGCAGTAAGAATAGGAATGATTTTGGGACTTTAAAAAACGTCCGGTTTTTCGTTAAATTCGGTTTTCTGGGTGGTCGGTATTGGGAGAGTCGACTGTACAGTGTTTGTTACGTGTGGGATACTTTCTTTTTACGAATTTGTTAAGAAAATCAGTTTATTCTTTTATAAAAAGGATATATACTTCTGAAAACTGCCTGGTTAAAGGTTTTGTTTAATCAGTATTAAATTACTCGACTATGTTTTTAAAGTGGAATACATTTTTGTATTCAGCAGGTTTTTATTGCTTTGTACAGTTTGTAACATATTTTATGCTTTTCTTTTTGTATTTGTTATGGAGGAAATTCCGAAATAAAAGTTGATTGATTTCATTCCGAAAGTCTGGGACACATCACCTGCTGATCTCTAAAATTCTCTCCTTTCTAGTTGCAAATATTTTCTTTGAAATTCGGGAATTGAATGTGTTTATGCATTGCAATTGATAACCATGATGAGACAGAGCTTTCATAATTTATGATGTGAAATATTTTTCATCATATTTTGTTCATTAGAAATTAAGAATGCTGAAATTTAGCACGTGTTAGTAAAAGTAAAGAGTACAGAATTGTAAGAGGGGACGTAATGAAACGCTAAGTGTTACACGAGATAGTGGGCGCCCTATTTACGAACGCCTGCTACGTTTTCTTTTTTTAAAGACGCCCTCAAGTCCATAGTTTCAGTTCTATACTCTTTGGTAAAAGCAACAAAAAATGCAAAATAAATAACATAAACGAATTGATTTATCCAGTTTCTTTTATTTATACAGCTTCTACAACTATATTTTCCAAATTTGTCTACTTTATATCTTAGCAAAAGTGAACATCTGAACATGGCGGCAGTGTATCAAAGTCACACCATACACTATAGGTATAATCAAGTTGATATTAAAGATATAATGTTTTAGCGCTTCAAAACTCATTTTGTACAGTATTGTAATCAATACTTCCTGCTTGGAAAATTATACCTGTTGACAACCCCCCCCCCCACCTACCGCCCTGCCAATACCATCAATTTCCCGAGTTTTATCAATCCTCGTTTCACATGACTGTTGCCTACTTAAGACGAAATCCTGTACCAGGTAGCTTGATAGCAAATCTGAATTACAGTACTTCGAAATAACAGCTAATTTTGGAAACAATAGGTACAGTATAGAGTAATACAAAATTCTTATACAGTACTAGCATCATACCCCAACAGTACACTTTGACCTTACTTGTAAACAGTGGCGGACCCAAGAATTTTAAATAGAGGGCCAGGGTAAAAGGAAAGACTTACAGGTGGAGGGTCTATAAGCGCTACCCTCGGCCCAAAATTTATGATCAGTTATATCACCTCTAGATGGCCAGAATCTGCACACTCAGACTTCAAATTTGAACATAATACAGTATTCTTTTTTTCTCCATTTTTTTATTTGTGGGGGTTGGGGGTGGGGAAAGTGTGGGACAACTTCCCCTACTCCAACCTGAATCCACCACTGTTAAAAACAGCACATGTAAATAATTGAAGCATACTGTTTTGTTATGATTATAATCAGTGTAAATCAATGTGTCCATTACATAATCTGTATGGTTGATTAGTGTTTTTATAATCAATAAAGCATTAGATAATCCAGAATTGTGTAAAAATAAATCATAATTAGGGTCTATATAATTATATACATCTATTTTGTATACACATTAAAATACGACACAGCAAATATTGTTTATAGTACATATTTATATAATTATTAATACTATTTGTTTAGGTAGAGAAATACCTTCAAAACAATTCACAATTCATTTTAAATACATAGGCTCATTAAAATTACAATATACACATTTCTTTCTTATGCTCCATTTTGCATAGTCCAACAGCGGTGGTAGAATCGGTCCAGCAAGTCAAATCCCTTCCGCCAACTCATCCCTAATGTTCTATCGTCCCTTTGTTGTATATTGATTAGTTAATTAAGATTCCAGCAATTTGCAATATATTTCTGTGAAAAGTATAAGTACTACGAGGAACTATAATATATTTTTTAAGCTTTTTTTAAGCTGCGATATACTGTACTATAATTTCATATTTTATCCATGATTTTAACCCTGTAGTTAATAGGCCTCTTCTGTTTTACAAATGACAAAGCATAACCAGGTGATGCTTGAAAAATAACCAAAGGTTTACTAGATATAGGCCTATGCTTATAACAAAAATACCAACCAAACAACCCTGATAATGAGTAATGCAAACAAATGTCATTTTTTGCCTAATAATAAGTCCCAATATGTTTATTAACAAAAAAATAAGTGATACCTAATAATACATACTTAATAATAATAATAATCATTAGGTATAAAAGATAAAGGTAAAAATATTTTACAACACACAACTTTTATAATTCTATCTAAATACTGTAAAACCATAATGAGCACCTTCATACTAATTACAAATTATAAAAAAAAAATTGGTGAAAGTACAGTACAATCATTGGCTCTCAAAGGTCATGTTTTTCACAACCCCATTAAATATTCTTGTCAGTACAGTATACACTAATGTCCAATCATAATGTAAATGCCCAAATTTGGTAAGGTTATACAGTATGTAGTGAGATGTGCAGTAGCTTGGTCTTTAAGGTGCTTCCTATCAATTCCAGGGTCCTGGGTTCAAATCCTGTGGCCGCACAGAATTTTTTTTTCTCACATCTAAAACACATCACCACTCTATAAGTCTTTAAGCTTCATAATGGGACTTTGCTGATAAAACATGTTATTGAATTTATTAAGGGGCCCTGAATATCAGATGACCTTCTAGGATACGGTGGAAGAGTCGCCCTCTATAAATATGAAAAAAAAATGGAAAAAATTTACATAAAATCAAGGTGATTACCTATGCCAAATTATTCAGTTGTATTTTCTCTATTGCAAATACTATACTGTAACCATAAAGTGATAAAACTATACAAAAAAACATTATAATAACATCACCACAAAGTTCATATATACAGTATATATATATATATATATATATATATAGATATATATATATATTCAAACAATACAATACAGTACAAACAAAATTTTACATCTCGTGGTGTCACGGCCAAATTGTAAATTACAATTTTCATTAAAGACTATAAAACGATTAGAATAAAAATGCAGATTTGGAAAAAAAAAACAAAAAAAAAAACCAGGGCCAATATAAAAATTTATTAAAAAACTGGTCAAGTAGTACAAATTGTCACAGACTCAAAGTGGGGCTCATTAAATTAGGTACTACTGTAAGTAACTTTAGGAAATATGGAATTGGGCTGTTTAAAAATCTATCGGAAAATAACTGAAATTTTGTTTTTAGATCTTAAATTTCTGCCATGACAACTGTGTCTCGTTGACGGAAGTGTGCGCAATTTTAGAGAGCCCCTCCCCCTTCCACCCGTGTAGGTGTATTAATGAAAACAAAGTATTTAGTGTGCTCAGTTCGAGTCAATAATATCTTTGCATATGCTTAATAATTATTGGGCGAAATAATTTTTTTTACAACTTAAAAAAATATGTTGTGTAACTTTGTGGTGATGATGACAGGGTTGGCCCTGTCATGTTTGGCAGTAAAATAAAATATAGAGCAAAAATTTACACATACCTACACATATACAGGTAATGCTCAAATAGACAAGGCACGAGAAAGCCTTCCTTACAATGTTGTGTTAATATAAACAATTTTAAGCGAATTACAGGTTAGTTTAAAATTGGAATATACTAAATAATTTGATAAAGGAAGTACTTGAACACCATCAGCAAGACACTAACTTTGCAATCAACAAAAACAACAATGTTTACTTGCATGACAGCGTGGCTCGCTAAAGCCATCACATACCCGTCGGCCGATGAATCCAGCATGAAGCCGACTGTTAATTGTTAGTGGCAGACAAAGAAGACTTAAAACTGCGCTCAATTCTTACAGGAATCGCAACTGGGGCAGTACAGTATGTGTCCGGCTTAACAAATTGCACTTACACGTTCATTCGTTCGTTATGCATTGATGTTGATGGAATGTTAAGTTTACACTGTTATATCATTAGGCAGTGGAGGACAGCGATAAGAAGAAATATAATTCGATATGGTATCAATGAATTTGCATTGTTTGCTTTTTTTGACTTTGCACTTTTTGTGGTGGTGATGTGCTTAGTGGGTTCTTTTTTGACAACTACAGTGGATGATGTTGAGCCGTAGCTATTCTGTGCACTACATGTATATGTACCGAAGTCTGTGTCCTCTGCAATGAGAAGGTCTACTGTGACTTGGTTGGTTTTGATGTTATACCGCCCAACTCGTTGCAGACCATCTGGACCTGAAATGGACACAAATGGATGCGGCTGGCCTGTTACCTCGAAAGCAAGTAACACTGATTCCCCTGGAAGTACTTCAAATTCTGTGAAGGATGATGAAATCTTAGGAGCAGAGCATATCTTTTCTGGGCTTGTGCAAGTCGGATCAAGGCCCACGATTTGCTGATCTTCACTAGAAGATTTAAGAAATTCAATCATATTGCAATCACAAATCAACGGGTTCTCTCTCAAGTCAATATCAACAACAGGGGGTACAATCTGCAGGATAAAACTTGGAAAAACTGTAATACCGTTACCAAATAAGTCAAGTCTTTCAAGGTGTTGAAAGAGACTGTGCGATGAATTGGTCATGAAAACAAGATGCGATATTCTATTCTTGCTCATGTACAACTTCTTCAGTCTTGGTGCAGGCTTGAAAGCCGTCTCGTCAAACATCTCGATAGAATTGCCAGCCAATCCTAGCTCTTCTACCGAATAGAAGCTGCTGAAAATGTTTCTATTCACGTAGTTAATTCTGTTGAAACTTAGATCCAAACTCTTCAATCTTGGTAGTGTATTAAACATGTCTTGGCTAACAGCTTGCAGGCCAGTAAGTCCTGTAGAGTATGACACATACATATCTATGTCCGTGGCCCAAGACTTTGACGATGCACTTATTGAGAACGCATTGACACGTAAAATCTCCAGATTATGAAGTCCATTAAAAGCACCTTGTTCAATGCTTAGCCCAACAAATCCTATTAAAAGAACAGAATAAAATACTAAACACATGGCATACTGTAACCTGTAAGCCTACAAAATTATTCCTCAAGCAATTAATATTATAATTGTATAATTACATTGCATTTTGGTGTTTTTTTTGTAGAGACATAATAAGTAGGAAATAATTTACAAGTAAATAATATTGAGATTTGCTATGTTTTGTTAATGTGATTTCTGACATAACCTCAAAATTTCTGAATGTAGATGTCAAAAAATAACAATAACAATAAAAATGATAAACAATAGGCTTTTGGAATATAGTGTAAAACACAGTAATTTATAGGAAGGCTGCTTAGATTGTACGTGTGTAGATATACTGTAAACACCAGCATTGTAGGATGGTGTCAGCCTGAGTGGAGGAGCGAAAATTTAGAAAGCAGAACTAAACCCTATTCTAGTGAAAACTTAACAGCCATTTTTAGTATCAACCCACTCGTGAAACTTAATTTGCCAAAAACGTTGATAAAACAAGCATTTTGTTTCATGTAAGGCGGCTATACCATTGATACACAGTTAACCATGCTAATTACCGGTAACACTACATTCCCGTGTCTAGTAACAGTAATTAAATGTAAAAATTGTACAGATAGCTTTTCAAACTAGTAACACCTAGGTTAAAACTTATATGCAAAATTACTTTAGACTAATAAACAATAGTTGCTCTCAACATATAAATACAATGTGATAAAAATCTCTCAAGAGTGAGACCATCATTGGTTAGAAGCCACTCAGTGACCTCTTGCCCCAATTATGCAGGAAGTGTTTCAGGAAAATACAAACATAAAGCCTACCTGCGATAGCGAGAAAAGTAATATTGTTGTAAGAGAGAAATGCATCTCTTGGTATATTAAGAAAGAAACTTCGCAAAAATACAATATCCGTCGTGCTAGGTCCGCATGGATTTGTCGTTGGTATGCAACTAATGTTTGAGCATTCACACAGTGGCCCGAAAGTTGTGCACTGGCCACTTTCAGATGATCCGGTACAGGACTGCGCATTGCCTAACAATGTTCCATACAATAACAGGGTAAAACTAATGGCATATATCCAAGCCTCCATCTTGTATCAAGATGATCGCCACCTGTGAAAGATAAATTTATCTTTATCTTTAAAGGAGCTCATATATCTGGGTTTGTTTCCTGTAAGGGATGGTCTTGCTAGAACATTCATGAACATTTAACTGTATCTAATTATAAACAGCTTTGTTGTACTGTACGGTGTGAAATTGTGGCATGGGTTAGTGCAATACCCCTTACCAAGCGGTTACCATTCAAGAACTGAGGTCCGGGGAAGCCTAGGTCAAGGGATAACAACTCCAGTTGCTAACAACAACACAGAGAAGACAGTAAACCATAAACTACAGTAGGGTGACTCAGTTACTATTACTATTTTTTAACATTATTTTTAATTAATTTTTTATTTATTCTTATATTTTATTTATTTATTTTTCTTTACTACCATGTTATATATATTTATATTTAATAAAATTATTTTTTTGAGGGACCCACTGTTGACATCTTTGCTTGGAATGGTTTTCCCTTTTCCACCAATTTGTGACTTCAGTGTTACAACAGGGCACCTATAGTCCTATGGTTGGTTTGGTCTACAAAAAGCGGAGCTGAAGTTACGCATAAAATGGTAAATTTAATCATATTTTAATGCTAAGAGTAATCCATAAATGACAATGACAAAAACCAGTGTGTGCTGTACCATGTACAGTAATAATATGAATTCTGAATAAACCATTTGATAAAACAGAAGCAACATTAAAAACTTCAAGGGGAAGAAAATGTTTGTTTAAAAACACAATTAAACCAGGGAGGTGTAAAAATAACATCTCCCTGATTAAACTGTGTATTTGACCCAGGTATTTAAATCCATAATAATGCATAAGTCTACTGTGTGGCCTTGACACGAGACTCTCTGTCAGGCCTATTAACATGCTAAATCATTTACAAGCTAAATCGCATCAGTATGTGTAGGCCCACAAAGTATTGTTGTGAAAAGTGAATTTAAGCCTCTCCACATCTTTACTGGTACCAGCTTATTTCCGTCTGAGGAAATGGACTACCGTAGAACCAGCCTAGCTGCAAATTCAAAATTAAATACCACCTAGCATCATGAGGCATGAATGGCGATAATATAGCATCTTACCTTTCTAGAACATTAAATCTGTGAACTACAAAAACTATGGATGAGTGTCGGTAGAGTATCAGTTAAAAAATTGTAAAACAACCCTGCTTTTGTTATGACGCCCGTTCGAATGAAAGCCTATCTCTGTTTTGAGTTGATGCTCAACAATCAATCAGCCCATTGCGTCATGCGTCACTAGACACTACCATTGTGTGTTAATGAATTTCGTTAAATTTGGATAATAATAAATAGGAAATTGTTTGCAAACGAATTCACTATACATAAGATATAAAGCATATAACCAGTTAAGCTCGTGTGTCACAATACCAGTACTAATGTTGTTTGGCTTCAGGCGTGGTCATGCTGAAATCATAAAGCTATTGATATGATTTTCCTTTATAAAAAATGGAAGATTCCTAGTAGAAATTAATTTTGACCGATCGTGGAGGTATAAATACCTCCATGGACCGATTGTGTAATTATTTATACCTCCTCGGAAAGTACGGTCATGTGGTTTTCACGTGCCGGATATCAAAGCAAGGAGGCAATTTTATACCTCCTTGATTAAAGCAGGGAGTTACAACTCCCTGATTAAAGTGTGGGAAATCCCATGGTTTTTCCGGATGAGACTGTATGTTCTAAAAAAAACTGAAAGAAAAAACAAAGAAATGAATTACAGGTGAATTATAAAACATAGATTCTTAAATCCTAAGGCCCAGAAAGATGTGAATTCTCATTAATGGAACTGTATAAAGGATAAAACACAGAACGACTCCACGGGAAAAAAATCACCTTACAATAAGGATTATTATTATTTACAGTAGAGTATTTCACACCATTAATCCAATATAAGAATTTATTAATAGTTCATTGACGGTAGTTAAATGAGTCTTCAACATAAAATAGTCAATCAATTTTAAAAACTTTTGATTGACAAGAAAGACTGTAAAGAACAGTACCGTATCGCCTTTCGAATCCATACCCGGATTATCAACTATCAGGTGATCACACTTTTAAACGAGGGAAGAATTTATTAATATTTATTTCACGGTAGTTAAATGACACTTCAACATAAAACCACAATATCAATCAATCAATTTTAAAAACTTATGATTAACAACGTAGAAAGTAGTATCGTCTTTCGAATCCATACCCGAATGATCCACTATCAGGTGATCACACTTTTAAACCAGGGACACTTTTAAACTAAGGAAATATCTTTAACTCTCCGCGTCGGTCAACCTTAAGGGACACCTGTTTTAAGGGGACACCCATATTAAAGCTACGTTCACATCAAGCCCTGTCTCTTATACACATCTAGATGTGTATAAGAGACAGGGGGGGCGGGGATGTTCCCGACGAGGAAGATTTCTCCGACGAGGGGAAGATTTCCTCGACGAGAGCAAAGTGGGCGTAGTCGAGCGGCGCTTAAAATGTTTCGAAAATGGTCCAGAATACGAAGCCCCTGAATATTTTGACAATTTAGGGGTTTCAAAGGCTTATATTTAATCGATTTTAGAATTCACTAATATCTGCAAAATACATATAGGCCTAATTTTGTTTTCTCCCCGACGAATTGTGGTTTTTCTCCCGGGGGGGGGGGCAGAGACAGTTTCTGTTCTGAGTGTGTCAAATGATCAAATCAACACCTGTGGAGGACACAATTTTGGATATTGTAAAACTATAATTGCAATAGGCCTAACTTAAAATATTAATATTTTTCTTGATCCTTAAAATGGGCATCAGTACAAATCCCACAAGGCCTTGTTTATATTGACCATTGGGTTTAATTTTTCTTTTTCTTTTCTATGTGCACTTTCGTATTGAGAATTAGGGCCTATTTAGTTATGTTGATGCTGCTAAATATCATTATTTTGATACTACATTGCCGTTTTGGCCTTCAGCGACGTCTTCACTCCAGCAAGAACAATCACTGTACTGTAAATCTAAGTACAAGTGCTAGGTTGTGAGGGACCCTGGTTCAAGTGTACAGTCAGGGGACCTTGACGCATGCGTGAATGATTGACCATGTCAGTTAACATTTGTATAGGCATAACGGCATCTTTGAAGAGCCAGCTGTTGGCGGACTGACCAATCCATACCTTCCACAAAAGATCCAAAGCAAACCATATAGTCGATATGAGTGCTTAATTTCACCAGGTCATATAAAATAAAGTACAGAAACAAGAAAGGTAAAAGCTATCCTTCCTTTTATTCAAACGTGCTGAAAAGATTCATAACATAGGTATCAAATTTTCAAAAGGACAAATATGAGCGCCAGGATTTGCCCGACGTGGGGTGGGGGGGGGAGCCGGTTCCCCAGACGAGGTGTCAGATTTCCCCGCCGACAAAAGCAAAGTGGGCGTTGTCGAGCTTCGATTAAAAGGTTCCGAAAATTTCGACAGGCAGGATGTAATAAAGTGAACAGGAATCACAAGCGCCACAAAATTAACTGTAATGTCAAAAGATGGACCTATAATAGGTCCATGATCAAAACAATTAACAAAAGCAATTTCCATAAGTGCTCCTCCCCCTCAATTACCACTCTGTTTTCATAAGCGCCCCTCAAAAAGTGGAAAAAAAAATAATTTATGCGCGCGCGCGGCGGGCACCCGTTTCGTGCGAGTACGGTATCTCCCAAGGGAAGTATCCTAGCAAGATAAACTCTGAACTTTCCTCATGCTTACTCAACCGTGACTGCAATGTGGCGCGGCGCATCACTCAGTAAAGTTCCATTAACAGAATATATTTGAAGTCTTATTCATGATTGAATGATACAGTTTTGTTTCCATTTTGATGAAAGGTACGCGTATAATACTGGTACTACACAAGGAAGTCCAGTATACTATCTAATACTTAGAAATAAGCTATAAATGCTAGGCCTACACTAGGCTAGGTCTAGCTACGGCCTAGACCTAGGCATAGGGAGGACCTAGCCTATGCCTAAGGTAAGGGCTAGGGAGTAGTACTAGGCCTAGCTTTTAAGTAGGCCTAGGGCCTAGTTAGGCGCTACTGAGGCCTAGGCTAGGGTCTCGGCCTCTAAGCTGCTACTACAAGGCCTAGCTAACTAGGCTAAGCTAGTTAGGCTGGGCCTACATACCTGCTGAGGCCGGACTAGGCCGCCTACATACTCATACTATGCCCTGTGGGAGAGCAGTGTTCAACACTACTGTACACAGGCCACCCAGGTTAAGGAAGAAATAAATAGATACTAAAATTCTAGACTTGGCTCGGTAGGCCTGTGTGGCTGTAGTGCAGGAGTGGGCATAATAAAAGTTGGTCAGAGGGCCAAATTGAATTTTTGATTTAAACACCAAGGGTCGCACCCAAACTTTGATGTTTCCAGTGTATAATAACTCCTTAAAACTTCATGCACTGCTTTTTTAGTATTTACCACTTTATTCTCAGTTTTGATATTACGTTTTACAGATGATCGGTTTTGGGCCATAAAAAAACAAGGTTTTTCTTTCCAAAGATGTTTGGTCGGATGCCAGTCAATTTGAGCGAATGTCAGTTCGAGCGGATGCCTGTTTGAGTGGATGCATTTAGTGCGAACTATAACAAGGGCAAATTTATCGTCGCTGTATTCTTGTATTTGTTTGTTTTAAATGCAAAAAATGCTCTGATTACCGAGGTCCTGAAAGGTTTTTAGTACTTTTTGATAATTACTCCATGTTTGAATTACAGTCTTCGCAACTCCGACTACCAAGATGGCCGCTAACAAGTTAAAATTATAATAGAATTGCGCACTTTTCAGCTTAAAAAAGAACGGAAAGTGTATGTTTTAATAGAGTACACGAGAAGCACACACACAAGACGAGTGACCATTATTTTTTTCACTGTAAACAAAGTTGGGTGGCTAGCCACTTTATTCACCACCCCCCCCCCTCCCCACTTCCTCAGATCCACCACTGGTTGGGGTTCTCTAAAAAAAGCAAATTATATTTGTAATTGAGTTATGCTACTCACTTATCTATTCTGGAACTGTTGTGTGCCCCCTTCCCCTTTGAAAATGTCAAATTTTTAGCTCAAATTATATTTGTAATTGAGTTATGCTACTCACTTATCTATTCTGGAACTGTTGTGTGCCTCCTTCCCCTTTGAAAATGTCAAATTTTTAGCTCAAAAATAGGAAATTTTGAAGTAATTCGTATATAACTCGCACAGGTTGTTGTTCGCACAAGTGGGTCTTCTTCCGCTCAAATTAGCATCCGCTCGAAAAAAATTCCGCTCGAATTCGCTCGAATTGGCCTTCGCTCTAAGTGGCATCCGCTCGAATTGACTGGTTCCCGTTTGGTCGGCCACACTCATTTTCGCAAGCCACAAAAAAAGCACTGTCAGGCCAACTGAAGCTACAGTAGTCCAAGGCCTAGAAGTCATTTTGAAAATAAGTAAATTTCAAAAATAATACAGTAAATAAAAGTTGATTGTTAATCACCCAATCAAATCACCCAGTGGGTTTCACCTGACCGACTCTGATTTTGATGAAAATTGGTATGCATGTTGGGTTTGGCATCAAATGGCCAAATCTTAATTTTCAGCAAAATCCGGCCATTATTTTGAGTTACAACACGCCCAAAAAATTATCAATATTGGCCAAAACTGGTATGGCCGCCAAAAGTTAAGCCTCAATATCTCAGCAGTGAGTTTGCTAATATTCATTGGTATTTCTGAAAAGACAATTAACTAAGGAATCTAAATCTGCCATTATTATTATTAATTGACCATATCTAATGTTAATGACCTTGAATTTGACCTTGTGGATCATGCCGATGTGAAATCATAATCTGTGTAAATTGTGGCCCTGGGTGTTGGTTACAACATATAAAAAAAATGTGGAGATGTAATAAATTTTATAAGCAAGTAATGTTTGATCAAAGTTTGCTGTCTGGGGCAAAACCCCTCAAAATTACTGTTTTTTTGACAAAGTATTAAAAAAAATCGTACTGTACTAAAAAAAAACAACCTTCAATGTTAAACTTTTAGACAGTTTATATTTGAAGCTAGTAAAATCAGGTCAAAAATCCACACATTTTGCTAGGTGAAAAAGTGTGTGTTGCATGTCTCTTGAAACTTCAAAAGCAAAGCATTGACCTGGTCCCGCGCAGCAGTGGAGGATTCGACAGATGAACGTACAAGTTCGCCAGAATAACAGTGCTCTTGTGTTAACCTAAATGAAACATTTTAACCTTATGAAACATTATCAAGCTTAAATGAAACACCAATCAAACTTCAATCACTGCCTTCTAGTAGCAAAAGAATAAAGGAAAGCAAAAACTTCCATCTGCAACGCAAACTTTATGACAAGGTTTGGAAGTATACGTATGAAGTTTCCCTTGACAGCTCTGAATGTGACAGTGAATTCAGTTCTTCAGATAGGTATGATCTACACTTTTATCGAAAAATGCAGAATGAATTGAAAGAAAAATATAAAACATTGTAATCGTACCAGGAGCGTGTGCAGATACTGACTCACCGCCATTTACAGTTTTAAAGAACCATGCAGGAGTTTGGTGCAACAAACTATCTAGTTAAAAAAAGTTTGTGTGGTAAAAAATAAGAAGGGTATTTTGCGACTTGGGGAACAAGGGTAAATCATTGTCTGAAGAACTTAAAAATGAAATTACAGAATTGACATGTCGACAAGGACGCGAAGCCCCGCCCACAAAGTCATGAGAACCTCAGACAAGGGCGGCTAGACTTACCGAGTTGGCGAAGATTTACTTTGCTATCAACCTTCTTTAAGAAAGAGAATTCAGGGTGGGCAGTATGCAAATGAATCATATATTCATAGTGTTAATCTATTTCATGGAACATGGCGGGGAAATTGTTGTAAATGCCTCTGTATTTCGCTCCCAAAGGAAGAGGGTAAAGCCGGATTCAGTCAACATCGTCGGTAAAGGCCAAGTCACTGATGTGCACTGCTCGTGTAAATCTGGGTATCTATAACCAAGCATAGACATCATAGGCCTAGGCTTATGTATGTTTCACGTTTAAACCAGCTGTCTAAGGAAATTAAAATGTCCGAGAAAAAGTTTTGGATCATGTTACTAAATGATGCTTGCTGATTAGTCGGTTTATCTGTCAATCAAATCTCGTCGAGATGTTAATTCTATGAAAGTGATGAATACTGCCACATATGCCCCAGATTGAAAGACACTGAGGGTTAATGAAAGGGATAGTAACAAAATGAAACACCAGAAGCGTTTTGTGCTAAACCTTGAAGAACTTCACAGTATGCTGCCTGGAAAGAAAATTTCCCTGAAGAAAAAGTGGGATTCTAGATAAATTTGCCGTTTTTTGCAATTTTTTTACATCGAAACAGTGAGGACAATCAAAGGAACACTTTCACCGATTCATTCCAATTTAAAAATCTAAGTTGCATGCATTTAGATTGAGTGCTCAAGCTGACCCACCTGATTTGGTTTCGGTCACCAATGCTGAAGAGGACATGGCAGAAGAGGATGATGTAACAGGGCCGTCGGAACTGCAACGGCCGCACCGGCTTTGGTCGGACCACTTTCTCTAAATTTGATTACTGTACTTTTAAAAATAAATATATTCATATGAATTCATTAATAATGTTTATATTGTTCTTCAGTATTATATAAATTTAAATAAAAATCCACCATATGCTTGTTTTTATATTGCCATATACAGGTATGTATATTTCAACTTTTTATGTTAGTAATTAAGATTGATATTGAAAATGTTTAAGAGGTATGAATATAAAATAACAAACTAACAAAATAACAATTGGCCAAACTGTCATCACTCAAAGGTAGGCCTATAAGACTCAAGCCGGCCCTGATTACTTGCAATTAAAATTTAACACTAAAGGGATTTTTTCTAAGTTTGTATGTGGTATTTCCTGGCAAAGGACTAATTTTTCCAACCAGCTGTAGTGGGTATTTAGTTCACTTACACTAACTTTAAATCCTGTATCTGCCCCGTATGGGTTGGAATGGGCCTTCAAAAGATGCCATATCTTCAAATTGTATTCACATCAGACCCACCATGTTGGGACTGAGGTAGGTATGAATTCAGTATCCCAACTAACTTTAAATGTTGTGTCTGCCCCTTGGGGCGGGGGTTGCAAGCCGCAGATTCAGAGCTCACACTATCTATTGCACAGATGCTGTCTTATGGAACGGATCCCCCTAACTATCAAAAGATCAGACAAATTTTGTTGTTGATGATGATGATAATGAAGATGGAACGGTACTAGTCGGGCCAGTGGAACAGTTTTCAAACAGGTGGGGATGAGAAACTAGTAAGATGAATGGGAATATGAATCAGGGGTTCTAATTAAAGAGGTGGGTCCCGGCAGTACTATTGTAGTAATTTGAGTGTGGTTCCTATATGTGAGGTCTCACCACTAAATGAGACGCATCATTGGTGAAATCATATTGAGATATTCACCAAAATAGGTCAAAGGCAACATTTTTACAAAATTTTGATTTTAATGTTTTTGAATAACTTGATACTTATATTTTATGATTGTGTACTTTTAAGTGAATTTTCTTACTAAAACAGTGTTCTCTTCGCATATTCTGTAATTCTAGTCCTATTATTTGTACAGGTTAGTTATCTTTGAGGCCGTTTTTCTCAAAACCTGGTTCTCATACACCAAACTTTAAATGCTAACATATCTGGATCTATTTATCCTAGGTAAGCCATTCAAAGACCAAATTAAAGCTTATAATGTGGTCTACCAAAATGTAATATTAACTCATTTTTTGATTTTCTAACGATGAGACTCATTTTGTAGTGAGACCTCACATATGTAATCATTATTCGTATCTCAAGAGCAATGTGGACACAGGTAAAAATCTTATTCCTGTAGTTCTGAATTACTAGAAGACTAATTTGAATGATTTGTGCAAGTCCCTTTGAATTTCCGAGCTGACTGAATCATTACATATGCAGGTAGCTGTCGGATAGTTTTTAGCCAGGCGAACATTTGTTGAACAAATAGTACTGTATACATGGAAGTATGCACTTCAAAAATGTGCGTGTTGATATTTCAATTGCTTTTAGGAATTAGTGTTTGAAAAGTATTTTTGTAGTGCATTATACCATGGCATGAAGCATATGTAAATACCTGACTGAAGAAAATGATAATTAATCAATTCAAAAGGTAGGACATTGTTCTAGAATAAATAAACAAATCACGATTGCGGTGAAGTGAAGCATGTATTGATGGTGGGAAATGTAAATTGTCTCCAACAATGCATAAAAAGGGAACAACATTAAACAAAAGGATAAGCCTATATTCATAATTAAAAAAAAAGCATTTTATGGAGTATTGGACCCTGTGACCATGAATGGTATAGTACTTTGCCCTAATGAGAGAAACAAGTATTCACACAACGTGCTTTGTAGGAAGGTATTATGTCGTCGAAATGGAGGCGAAACCAAGATTCACATAGGAGGGGTGGTGCGTGGGGCGTGCAAAAGTGAGCGAACCTAGGATCGGGGATTGCTAAAACCAAAGACGGTGTCAAGGGGAAGTGCCTGTTGAATCAAATTTTAGTAGGCCACTAAAAAAGATTTTGTGGTATTTTCTTCAGATAGGCAAATTTTGATTAAATATTACTTGCTTTTAAGAAATATTACATTTCCAGTTCTTTTATATGTTGTAGCCAACACCCGGGGCCACAATTTACATGAATTATAATTTCACGGCGACGTGATCCACAAGGTCAAATTCAAGGTCAATAAGAAGGTCAGAAGGTCATTGACATTATTCATGTTCAATTATACATAATAGATGGCAGGTTAAGATTCCTTTATAATTCTCTTTTCAGAAATACCAATTTTGTGAATATTGATCAACCCACTGCTGAGATATTGAGGTTTAAGTGTAGGCGGCCACACCCGTTTTGGTCAATATGGCCAAATTTGGGCGTGTCGTAACTCTCAAAATAATGACCCGATTTTTCTAAAAATTGAGATTTGGCCATTTGATACCAAACCCAACATGTGTACCAATTTTCATCGAAATCAGAGTCGGTGTGGTTATAAATTATTTTTTTCTTGGGTGAGTTGACATAAAATAACCATATAGGCACCACATTAGACTAGGAAAAAAATCAAAAAAGAGGCCTAGAAATCAAGTTAGGGGGAGTGGAATGTTAGAAGTAGTCAATATAGCCAGATATCCTAATTAATCCGTCCTGGTCACCGTAAGCCCTGTTGACACTTGATTTTTCACCTGGTATACAAATGGCGGCCAAATTTATCAAAAATGTGCATATACTGTAATTGGAACTAAATAAGCTACAGATATGATGTTGGTGTCTAAAATCATAATTTCATGGGGATCTCTAGGTCTCCGATTCAAATAAAATCAAATCATTCTTTATTCATCACTCAAAATGGGTTGAATTTTATAAAAGTAAAGGGTTCAAGCCGAAAAATCTAAACAATCAACATTTAAAACTTTTTCAACAAATAGACCCACATCACAATAACAGCAAAATGAAACAGTTTAAAGGGCAAAAAGGCAACCAATATTAAATTAGTATTATTATTAATTATTATTATTATTATTATTATTATTATTATTATTATTATTATTATTATTATTATTATTATTATTATTATTGTAGTGAGATTATTCTATCGTTCCTGTTATAGCTACTCATTTTTAAGGTTTAATTTCAGCACTAGAGATATTCAGAGTACCCAGAGAGCCCAACATTTTTCGGGGCCTT